GCTGATTGAAACTAAAGATCTAAGTGAAAAAGAAGTCATGTTCTTGGATTAGAATACTTGATATTAGTAAAATGGCAATCTCACCAAATTGTAAGAATCAAGGTGTCCCATTTAAAATTTGCCTTAAACAGCCTGAAATTCATATGTAAATTGAAGGGACCCAGGACAGTCCAAACAGCCTTGTAAATAAGGGGAAAAATTGGAAGACTAACACTGACTGTAAAACTTACAAAGGTATTTCATCAGTACATGAAAATGGAATTAAAAGCTAAGATTATGTCAGTGGAAAAATGCTTGAATATCATACATATAAATGATCATCTTAAACGTTGGTGGAATGTATATATATTATGAAAAAGCTATACAAAGATATCAGTGCTTTGCTCAACCACCTTTTGATTGCATTTCCTTTGAGTTTTCTTAAAGTACTCATTTCATAAATGTTGGGAGCTTACTTCTGCTTAGCTCCAAGATGGCGCCTGGTGCCGTGCCAAAGCACCAGCAGTTGTATACAGGTTTAAGGAAGTCTCTTCCCATTGGTTGTAGAAGGCGTGCTGTGCACGTGAACAGCGCATGACCTGTTTAAGGATTGGTGTGTGCTGTGCATGTTGGAATGACTTTATGTGGATCGATTTATGCTATGTGTATATGCCTGTGCTCTTCCTTCCCGGGAGAAGTATGCCGGAGAAATAAACGCTGAGCACTTTGTTACCGAGTGTGGAGTGTCCTTTCAGCGGGCTGAAGAAGGAAGAACTTCACACATAAAGTTTGGTAAATCAAAGGGGAGGCATTAGCATGAAGATCACCAAATAAACCAATGGACTAGAATATAGCTTCCAAAACTAAACTCACACCTACCTTCATATATATGCACAACTGCTTTTTTAAAAGGATGTAAAATCAGTTCCATTTTCCAAGACAATTTGATAAAGTTGCAATAATTGGACGTCATACACAAAAAGGAGCAAATAAAATGTTTGTTTATTCGGCAATCCCTCATATCTGAATATTCGTCATCATTAAATGTATAAGGTAGCAGTGAATACTTTCACAAGATAAGAGAACAACCTTATGACTTAAGGTTAGGCAAGGATATTTTAGATACAACACCAAAACATGATCCAGTAGAAAAGCAAATTGATATAAATTGACATCTGTCAACATAAAAGACTTCGGTTGTTGAAAAGACACTGTTAAAAGAATGAAAAGATAAATTCCAGACTGGGAAAAATATTTGTAAATAATTAACTTGATACATTAATTGAATACAAAAACATAACTCAAAAAACTCAATAGTTGGGAAACTATTAATAAGAAAGCTGATTTTCAAAGTAGACATTTCAAAGGACTTTTAACAAAATAAGAGTTCCAGTTGATGATAAGCATATGAAGAGACGTTTAAATCATTAGGCACTGGGAACATATGAATGATAACCATGAGATACAACCTGTCACAAGTACCAGAGTTGAAAGGGGAAACATTGCGTTGGCAGCTGATGAAGCCACTGCCTGTGATGCTGCCATTCCATATCAGAGTGCTGGTTTGAGTCCTGGCTGTTCCACTTCTGATCTAGATCCCTGCTAAGATGCCTGGGAAAGCAGTGGAAGGCGGCCCAAGTATTTGGGCCCCTGCCACCCAACATGGGAGGCCTGGGTGGACTTCCTGGATCCTGGTTTTAACCTGAACTGGTCTTTTCCTCTGCGGCCATTTGGGGAGGGAAATAGACAGAAGATCTCTCTCTTCCTCTCTGTTAACTTGTCTTTAAGTTACTTTTTAAAAATCTTTTGAAATAAAATCTTTTAAAATTTTAGAAGAATAATAAAGAATTGGTAAAATTGGAGGACTAACCATACCAGACATTGGTGAGAACCAGCAGGCACTGGAACAGTCGCACAGAGGTGATGCTAATTAAACTAACACAACCACTTTAGAAGATGCTTTGTGACAGTTCTCTTAAAAGTTAAATAGGGGGGCCTGGCACGATAGCATAATGGTTATGGTCTTCGCCTTGAATGCACCGGGATCGCACATGGGTGCCAGTTCTAATCCCAGCAGCTCCACTTCCCATCCAGCTCCCTGCTTATGGCCTGGGAAAGCAGTCGAGGATGGCCCAAAGCTTTGGGACCCTGCACCTGTGTGGGAGACCTGGATGAATTTCCTGCCTCCTGGCTTCGGATTGGCGCAGCACCAGCCATTGCACTGACTTGGGGAGTGAATCATCAGATGGAAGATCTTCCTCTCTGTTTCTCCTTCTCTCTGTACATCCGCCTTTCCAATAAAATTAATAAATCTTTCTTTTTTAAAATAAAAGCTAAATAGGGAGCTGGCAAAGCCACTGATTGCTGCATCCTACATTGAAGTACTGGTTTCAGTTCAGGCTGCTCTTTTTATCAATCTAGCTTCCTGCTAGTGTGCCTTGGAAGACAGTAGGAGATGGCCCTGAAATAGCTGGGCCCCCTGCTTCCCAAGGTGGAGTTCTGGAAACCAGCTTCAGTCTTGCTCAGACCTAGCTATTATGGCCATTTGTTTGGGATTCATTTTCTCTCTCTCTCTCTGCCTTTCAGTAAATGAAAATAAACTTTTTAAAATAAGGTTGAGTACCTACTGAATGATCTAGTCATTCTCCTCTCAGTTTTTTACTTTTTAAAACCATAAATCCCACAGACTTTAACACAGATACTCAGAGAAGCTTCATCTGCAATAGCCCAAGGCCTAAAGCAAGCCACGCATCCATCAGTGGGTGAATGAATGAACTGTGCTGTCTGCATACTGCAGAACAGCATTTTGGAAATGTTTGGCCTAGCTGATAAGGTGCCTGCAACCCATACTGAAGTAGCCATAGGGACACCTGTCTCTCGCATCCTGTGAGACAGCAGTGATGGCTCAACATAGTTGAATTCCTGGCACACAATTGGGACATCTGGAATGAGGTTCCAGCTCCTGACTCCAGTCTGGCCTAGTACTGGCCATTCTGGACATTGTGGAATGAACCAAAAGATAGGGGTGTTCTCTCTCATGGAAACATGTTACAATAGTTGAATTTCATATAATTTTGGTTTTCATATAATTCTTCCTATTTAATTTCTATATAACCTCTCACCCTATGGTGAATGAGTACATTCACCTAAAATTATAGAAAATTCAAGCCAATGTATGGTCCCAGAAAGGTGGTATGTGGTTTCCTGGAGATGGGGATGTGAAGAAGAACCTGAGGGATAGATTTAAAAAGTAAATGAAGTAAGTCTAGCACAATGGCTTAACTGGTTAACCTCTGCCTGAAAGTGCCAGCAGTTTGTGGCCTGGCTGCTCCACTTCCCATCTAGTTCCCTGCTTGTGGGCTGGGAAGGCAGTGGAGAATGGCTCGAAGTGTTTGCACCCTACAGCTGCATGGGATTCCTGCAAGGAGCTCCTGGTTTCAGATTGGTTCAACTCCAGCTGATATAACCATTTGGAAAGCAAATCAGTGGGTGGACAATTGTTTTGCTTCTCCTCCTTGTAAATGTCTTTCCAATAAAAATAAATAAATCGGGCCCAGCATGGTAGCCTAATGGCTAAAGTCCTCCCCTTAAACATGCCAGAATTCCATATGGGTGCTGTTTGAATCACACCTGGGAAAGCAGTAGAGGATGGCCCAAAACCTTAGGATCTTGTACCCACACAAAAGACCTGAAAGAAGCTTCTGGCCCTGGCTTCAGATAGGCTCAGCTCTGGCAATTGTGGCCATTTGGAGAGTGACCCATCGGAGGGAAGATCTTCCTCTCTGTCTCGTCTCTTCTTTATATATTTGTCCAATAAAGATGAATACATTTTAAAAATAACAAAAGCTTTACTATTCAACATCTTCAAAAAGGAAGTGAGGATGCCTTTGAGGTGCTGGCTATGTCTGTTACCTTGGTGGTGCCATGGTGGCAGAGCTCTTTCATGTGCTCATTCACTCCCACGTACATCAAACATCTGGGACTCAGCTAGGGAAAGGCAGGGCACCTGGAACTAAATCTGAGACTGGGAGTCAGGCAGGCATTATGAGATGGGTGTCTTAACTGCCCTTTCAAACACTGTCCCTGCCCACAATTCAGTTTCCCAGCAGTGAGTGTTATACACTGAGGGCTGTTTCATTCAACCTGCACATTGATGAGCTGCATAAAGGCTCATCTAACCATAAGAGTGAGCAGATCTTAAAATAACTTGTTCCAATCTGTGGGCTCTGACATGGAATATATCTGGCTGAGAGAGTGGACTCTAAGGCACCTTGTGGACTGCGTAACAGGTCTTGGGCGAAGGTGGCAGTGATGCAACATTGCTGCTGAACAGTGGCAAATATTCTTGAGAGTGCATCTTTCCCTCAAAGAAGTCAAGCAAGTATAGCCTCCTCAGTCTGCCAGTGTCTACTGAAAGAGGACCATCTGTTCCAGCTGCGGGGAGGGCACCTCCCTCGTTGGTGCCACTCTGCCTTGAGCAGGCAGATAGATTTGGTGGATCTGTGCTTTTTTTCTCCCTTTGGGATCTCTACTGTGCTTGGATTCCATTATGCTTCCAGCCAAGACTTGTTTATTTCTGTAGCAATATAAAATAAAATTGGGAAAAGGATGCACTTGTAACCAAGTTTTTGTTGTTACTGAATCATGAAATTCCCTCAGTGGGAATTTCGACCTTCTCACTTTTAAAGATACAAAGCATTGCTTTGCAAAGTCAACTTTGACACAAATAGGAAACATTCAGTAGTCACCAGTGACCTGCAGACAAGTGTTGTTCACCTTATTTCTCTGAATTCTTGAGTAAGCAGCTGGATTTATGCCAAGGGCAGAGCTGATAGCACCGGGCCATCCAACAGGGATAAATTTGGGTGACAGTTCCCGACAGATGGATTCTGTCCGAAAACTGTCAGCCTTTCAAAGCCACACCCTCTCGTTTATGTATGTGGAACACGTTTCTTTTCTCCTTTTTCTTTTTTTTTTCCCCATAAGGAGACCTAAAACTCATCTCTTTCCCCCTGTTACAGATGCGAACAACACGCAAGGTCTCCGTGTGGCCAGTGGGCCTGGTTGGCGGGCGACGCTACGAACGTCCCTTGGTGGAAAACGGCAAAGTGGTTGGTTGGTACACCGGCTGGAGGGCGGACAGGCCTTTCGCCATCGACATGGCAGGTGAGGTTGTGGGTGCTGGCACGTGTGCCTGCCTGGCTGTGTGTGAGTGGCCCCTTCTGTCCTGGGGTACCAGCATGTGGTGGCGTGTGAGATCCTGCTTTTATACTAGGCACTAGAGGGACAAGGCTTTGAAAAACTACTCTGGATAAAACCGTATCATATTCAACAAATGAACCATTTCATCATAGCTCTAAAGTAGCCTCTGGGCTATTTCAAGTGGAAAATGGCTCAGGGGTCGATTAAAAAATGCTTGTGCTGTTCTGTTTTATCCAACAAATATCTCTGTACCAAGTGCTGGTTTGGACAGGGAGGATTTTGTGTTAAGAACCTGACCAAGTTTCCTCTTTCTCCCTTGCCCCAGGGCTCTGTTAGCTGGACCATTAAGGTATTTCTCCCGGGAAGACTTATTGATGCAGTAGCATGTACCACATGTTTGTTGGTAATTTCTTTATAATGGTGTAAGATGGACAAGTCCTATTAATGCTTGTTTGATGAATTTGGTGCTTTACTGATGTGTTTCGAAGCTAAGCTATTAAAATTGGAGTGCTGGTTCTTTAAGCATTTATATTAACTTTGAGTCTCACTGCCGTCTAAGTTGTATTCCCTGAAGAATTAACTGAATTGTTTTAGATCTGTGGTAGACACAAGTTCCAAAAGGCAGCTTTATCATAAAGAGACTTGAATTCCGTGGGTTATATAAAATGCCTGTGATAACTGTGAAAGGGTGGATTTCGAAACATGGGGCTTAGAGGCAAAACAGGGGGAAAAAATCCCTGACATCTGTAACCTCGAAGATGAAAGCAGAAAGGCTTCAAAATTGATCTCATCCATCTTCAGCTCTGAAGTGCAGCTGCGTCCGTCTGTCAGCCTGGACTCGCCCAGTTTTCTTGTGCAGATTTTTCAGCTACAGTCAGAATTTCTGTGCTCAGAATCCTGAAGCCATGAGGGCTGTGTTCTTAACTGGATTCACAGCCTTTCCTCGGAGAGTACTACAGACCTGAAGGGGCAGGCACTAAGCTCTCACTGATGGTTGCTTGGTGAGTCTGTCACACTGCGACAGAGGAGTATTGTCCTACCACCTTTAGCAGGTGTTTGCGGAGCTCTGGCACCGTGGGACTCTCAGGGCAGTCTCATTCTCATAGCTTTCTCTGGCTGGCCTCTCCCTTGCACCTTCTCCATCCCTCTGTCAACCCCAGCCATACCCTTTGGCCTTAAGTGCTTAGCACCACAGAGCTGAGCTGGTATCGCAACTCAAGCATTTACTTGGAGGCAGGCCAGGAGGCATGTGAGATTATCCTTGGGGGCCCCTGTGTCTCAGAGGCCTGAACTCAGTCCTCAGTCCATTGCTCTAAATGAGGCTGGCCTCTGTGTGTCTTGAAAACTTAGCCCCAGACTGACCAAAAGTATGTACTTGAGTAGAAAATGTAGAGATCACTGGGACTGGCATTGTGCTACAGTGATTTAAGCTGCTACCTGTATTGCAAGCATTCCATGTGGATGCTGGTTCGAGTCCTAGCTGCTCTGCTTCCGATCTGCTTCTCTCCTAATGCACCTGGGGAAAGCAGCAGAACATGGCTGACTTGTCTGGGCACCTGCCACTCACCTGGGAGATGCAGAGGGAGTTCCAGACTTCTGGCTGTAGCCCGATCTAGGCCTGGCTGTTGTAGCCGTTTGTGGAGTAAAACAGTGGATGGGATATCTCAGGGCCGTTCTTTCTGCTTCACTCTCTCTGCAACTCTGTCTTTCAGATAAATAAAACAAATATTGAAAAAAATTTAAAAAACAAAATCAGAGATAAATAGGAAAAGTCCTGTCATTTCTCTTAGACTTGGTTTCCTCATGCGTGAAGTAGGGGAGGTGGATCAGAATACTCCAGTGTGTCCTCCTGTCTAACTTCCCAGCCTCCCTGGGCAGCTCAGCAAAGCCCAGCAGCCAGGCTTCCACGTGAGGACTCGAGGCCATTGAGACAGCAGACATACCTTTGGCCTTGACCATTCCCTGACTCTTGTTTCAACACACATCCCCCACACATGTCTACTTGCATAAGATTTCTACCACGTGACCTTGTACACTGAGCTTTAATGTGAGGGCAATCTTCTGGATTTTAATGTATCATGTTTTCCTGACAACATCCAATATATTTGTTGAATGATTGCACTGGTTCCCCTATCATTTGGGTGCAATTTTTTTTTCCAGAAGTTCAAGAAAGACACATGGGTTTTTAGGGCAACACATTTGATGCACTTTCATTGCTAAATTCTATGGGAAAATGTCCAATGAGACATTAGCAATGTTTGGATTTTTTCTGAGCATTCAATATACTTTTAAAGCACCATAAAATACTCTTATAAAGGTAGGATTTGCTTGTTTTACTTTCATTGTACGAAAATAGGAATAAAATATCTGTCTCTCAGAAGACAGCTTTTGCCACACTAAATTTTTTTCACGCACGAACTTAGATTGTATCATAGTTTTCAGTAAAGTATCGCTATTTCTTGAAACCTTGACTTGTGATTTGCTTGATAGGATCATGATCCTGTTTTTTTGAACGAGTTTATGCCAGTGTAGATGTTACATGACTCTGACTTACTGTGGGGAGAGGACAACACTTTTTCGGTTGTTATAACCAAATGGTGATTCCTACCACATCTACTTTATGTTTAGGTTTTTATTTACTCCCTTTTATTTGAACAGCAGAGGTCTTTTGTCAAAGAGTCACTCCCAAAATGCCTTACCAGCCAGCATGGGTCAGGCAAAATCCCAAAGGCTGAAACTGAAGCCAGAGGTTCCATTTTAAATACCCCAGTATTTCAGATACCACCTGCTCCTTCCCAAGGTGCATATTAGTAAGAAGCTCAGCTAGGACTTGGACCTGTGCGCACAGCTATAGAACATAGGTATCCCAAATGGCATCTTAGGGGCTACACCAGACAGCTGCCCTCCTAGCACATGTTTATGTTACCTGGGTATACATGCAGGCACACACACACACACACACACACACTTCCAGCAGGGGTGGAGAACCTTTCTTCTGCCAAGGGCCATTTTGATATTTATAACCTCATTCACAGGCCATATAAAAATTCTGAATGTAAACATTAGTCTGTTAGACTTACTGAATTTGCACCCTCCCTGTGGCTGCCTTGGTAAGGCCAGGCCAGGCCAAATGAGGGGCCTCCTAGGCTCCACGTACTCAGCATTTCCCTCCCTCTGCAAGGGAAAGGAGGAGAAGTGGGGCCCACTTCCCTACAAGACTGGGGAAGGCTGAGGAACACTGCTTGGAAAATGCTTTGTGACGGCTGAGCAGGGCGTATTTGGAACCTAGTTGTCTCTTAAATTTACAAGGCCAATTAAGAAATATGAAACTTAGACCATTCTTTTTCCAGTCAAGTTCTCCGCTGAAACGCCTGGGAAGGCAGTAGAAGGTGGCCCGCGTCCTTGGGGGCCCCTGCCACCCACCTGGGGGGCACAGGTGGAGTTCCTGGTTCCAGGCTTTGGCTTGACCGAACCCTGGCCACTGCAGCCTCTCCCTTTCTCTCTTCACCCCCCTTCCCTCTCCATTGCTCCATCATTTCATTTTTCAAATACATAAATTATTTTTTTTTGTTTTTTTTAGATGATTTATTTGACAGGCAGAGAGAGAGAGAGAACTGGGCTGTTCCAGAGCTAGAAGCTTCTTCCAGGTCCCAAGGAATTGGGCCATCTTCCACTGCTTTCCCAGGCCATTAGCAGCAAGTCGAGTCAGAAAAAAAGCAACCAGAACTTAAACCTGTGTGGGATGTCAACAGTGCCAGTCCCCAAATTTGTAAATCTTTAAAAAAAAAAAAAAAGAGAGAGAGAGAAGGAAAAGTGAGAGTGGAAGCCAAAGAGCTCAGAGGTCATATTTCCACAGCTGCCTCTCTGAGAGGAGGCGCGCCCTTCAGTCATGCCCCCTGAGCCTGTCCTGTTTTGCTCTGTCTGTGCCATCACTGGAAGTGCATTTGCAGATCAGACGTAGAGACTGTGTTGGTTCACATCCCTTGGCAGCTCTAACTTAGGCTTGACTGCCATATTGGACTGTCCTAGTGCTGAAATTTTGCTCTCAGATGACAAAAAGCATGGCTTTGAAATTTATCTTGTGTATACAATCTTGACAAGCAAAGAATATTTTGGTTGCACTGGAAACATTTAAACCATAATGATCACGACTTTAAAGATTTATTCACCCCAGGCTGGAAAGGACACATCAGAGGCAGCCAGGCCAGTGAGGCCCTGAAATCTTCTGCCAGTCTGTGCCTCGGCGCCAGCTCCTACCCTGTGGACATCTGACAATCCTCTTCAAGTTTTCAGTTCTGTTTCAAAGGCAGAGCACTACTTTAAAGTGGTAGTCTCAATGTTGGCATTTCCAGGAAGGTGATAGTAAGAATGATGGCTTGAAAGAAGGGAGCTTAACATCTGCTTTGCTAGGAGCCGGGGATTTGTTCAGGTGCAGAGTTGAAGGCGGAAATGCGTGGGGAGGGACTCTCCCTATCTGCCTGTGCTGTTAGTAGCAGTAACCAGTGGCAAGCTGTGTTCAGGATAGTGTGCACCTGCGCTTCCCGGGCACATTCCTGGCACACAGTAGGCACACTGCTCTGACAGCAGGCCAGACAGGTGCACCACGCACAAACCCTGGAGGTGGTGTGCAAGTCCTAGTTGCCAGCTGTATGGCCCTTATCTCGGACGCCTGCTATGCTGTGGGGACCCTAAAGCCAGATGCACTGCAACCACTGCCCCTTCATTCAGTTTCCCACAGTCTCCTCAGGCTGTGTGATTTGCTACAAAGGACTCAGAACTCAAGAAGGTGGCATGCTGACGATTCCAGGTGTATGACAGAGGATGCACGTTAGGACTGGCTCAGTGAAGAGGGACACACGGACATGGGTGGGGGTGCAGGTCTCCTGGGCCACCCCACATATTTACAAACCAGGCCACCCTGCTCGGTGTTGGAGTGCAGGTTTCGTGGGAGGGTTCCATTTTAT